GGTGTAATCATGGGGCAGAGTCTAGAAACAGGAAGAACAGTTGCACAGAGGCAGTGAGGTTGATTCACTAAAGGCAAACAGTCTGTTCACTTTGCAGGGGAAATTGCTCTTTTCAAGATAATTTTCCTAGAGCTCTTTCCAAAGTTTCACAACATTCACTAAGTTCTGGGGCAAATTCCCCTGAAAAGTGCAACTTTCCTTGCAAAGTGAACAGTTTATTTGCCTTTAGTAGTCAACCCCATAGTGACAATGGATAACAACTTAGCCCCAGTGCACATGATTTGCACATGATTCGCAACTTATGGTAATGCGACTACAGTATGTTGTGGTGCACTGTGTTGCCATTTTTTTTAGACATTTTAGTGTGTTAAACGTGCTGTCTTAACGCAATGCATATTAACGCATGCAAAAACATGCGCCACACAACACCACACAGCAGTATGACAAAGTCTGAATGAGCCCTGCCCATAAAAAAAAAAAAGTAATGCACTAACTACTCTCCTAATTATCTCGTGGTCTGCTGTAACAGTCTTTAAAGGCTTCCATGACTTTACATATTTTACAGCACAGTGTTCTATAGAGGCCATTTTTACCTGTAAAAGAAATGGCTCTAGATATCTAGATTTAGAGCTCAATAAAAAAAAAACTCTTTATTTGCAAACTGTTGGCCTGTATTATGCACTCCATGATATCTTTTAGCATTGTATACCACAGCAGGATTTCAATCATTTACAATAGTCTTCATCCTGTCAGGGGTATGACAATTGCCATCTTAATTCAACCCTAAGCAATGTTACTTAGCTATAAGCAGAAGCTTTGGTTCATACATATACATGTTTTGTTGTGTCCTCTGTAATGTGGGAACATAAACACTCATGCTGTGTTAGCCGATTGTGTTCATAAGTGGCAATGTTTCATTCATTTGCTGCCAATTCACTTTTGATTGCTTAAAGGATCACTAAACCAAAAACATCAGTTGTCTTAAATACAATGGCTATCAAAGTGAGCCTGTCACAAAAAATACAACTTTGTACTAATAAGATACATGTATTAAAGGGAGTTTCACTTTTAAAATTGTGTTCCATGATCTACCTCTGGTCGCTTGAATGTTTGCAAGGTGGACTTCACCATCTATGCTTCAGGAGAGAACTTGAACTAATGTATGACTTTTGTCCAAGGTGAGAGTAGCCAAAAAAGCTAGACCTGTGCCGTCATCCATATTTTGCAGTTTTTACAGCTATTTTAAATGAACTATAATAAAGCTTAACGTTTAACTTTGAAGGATGCTAGACTTAAACTGGATGTCTATTGGTCCATGTTTGTCAAAAAGACAAATTACAGGAATATGGGTCTGGGTCAATAAAATGCACTTCATACCTAGAGCCACAAGAAGAGTAAAGACAAACATTGATAGGAAAATTAGGGTGCTACTTCTTGTTTTTTTGTAATGGATAGAGCGATCTTCAATACATTTGATATTGGGTAAATTGGACCATTATGCATGCAAGCATGTTTGGTATCCATCAGTTATTGGGGTGACAAAGGAAGTCAAATACTCACTCAAAGGAAGACAAATAGTCACTGATATCACCCTTGCTTCTAAGTATCTGAGTGGTTATTTGTTAGCCTAAAAAATTGGGGCAACTAGCCCATGAGTTAATTATTGGTAAGGAAGTCCTAAAATTACCTTTCTTGTCCAATGGTTGAACTTTGAAGTGTTAAGGGGTTTTTTCTGGAAAAGTCAACTGGAGACTGACTATCGGCTGGATTGATTGACCATAGACAAGCCAGGTTTTGGAGGAATCCAACAAACCTTATTAAAATGACCATAAGTAAACAACTGGAACACTGTTTTCATATTTTATGCAACTCATAGGAAGCTTAGTTTCCAGATATAGATTGTGCCTTTCTTACTTTTTGAAGTCCCCATCATTTAACCCCCAGATTATAGCAGGAGCTGCCCATTAAAACCAATATGCTGTATACCAACAAAGCATATTGCATACAACATTATACAGACATAAAAATCAAGCAGCTGAAAAAAATATACCAATCACAAAAATTATTATGTAAATGTAGCTGAATGTAGTAAATGAAAATAATTCTAGAGATCTGTGCCCTCTCCTGTTTGTATTTGCAAATAATCTAGTTATGCTACTTATCATAAAATTAATTATGTATAGTACTTCCTGTCTCTGGGTTGTTGGATTGGAAACCTCAGAAGAAGAAAGTGGAAAGAGAGAGAGAGGAACTGAGGCACATGACTCTACACAGACAGAGCAGAGAATGGTTAGAACCTATGCCAGGTTTGTATTGCCATCTCTGAGATTTCCCCTCACTTCTTATCTGGACAGTAAATGACAAAAACATGTCTCCAGCAGGGACAAGGATAAATGCCAAAAAAGGCATTTTTATTAAAGCAAGGAAGGGTTCAGACTTGTGACATTTTTTTTTTGCTTTCTGTGCCTTCCTGTCTTGACAAATACATTCCCCATTTCTTTTACAGGTGTTACAAGGACATATGGTGAGGGAAAATTTCCATTGGGGTCACAGACAAAGGGAAATCTGGACAGAATTGTATACATTTTTTTCATGCTATCCAAAAAAAAAAAAAAAGAAAGAAAAAACATGATTTGGTTGAAGTTAGGCTTTTAACAATATATTAATTGGAAATATAGCAAACAGATAAAGGTTATTTTTCAACTTATAAAACTTCATTTATAAAATTTTATGTACTTTTTTTTAGAAATTATTTCAAAATATTCCCATTTTAACAATTCTTTGAAGAATCTTGTGCTGTCAATTATGTAGAGTGATCTGTTCTTTGTTATTTGTTAGTTCTTCAACCATACCAATATTCTTCCACTAAGCACAACTATATATCTTCCAGCAAGGAAGAAAAAACACTAATCACTCCCACTGGCAGCCTCACTTTAGTACAACAGTCCCTTGTGGATTATGGAGTCCCTATGCCTCTAACAGCAACACATATCAAATTTAAAATAACTTTTGTGCAGCCATGACTGAAGGCTGCATGGTACAACTGAGCACAACTGAGCCAGAGTAAAAGATTTGCTCCCATTGTACAACGTTTCCTCTATTTTCTTTAGATTGTTAATTGGTTATGTAAAGTGATTTCCAGGGGACATAGTTCTAAAACACTATCCCATTTTTTTCTGTGAGGCCAGAATCATGTTTTTTAATGTGCATCATAGTTTGTCTTAAGTTTAATTTGGAACACCCACATACGTGCATGTGTATTGTCTTATATATACATGGCGGGGGCATATGCAATGATTATTTTTTCTCTCACTGTTTTTGATAAACATTCAGACCACATGCAAGTGTTTTCATTAAAACCCATTGTATTGTGCTCAGTGTACCAGCTGACATGGGGAAAAAACACATCTGTGAATTGTATTAGGCTAACATCTGTAACATATATAGCAGAGTGGGTGTGTGGGCTTAGTTTATAGATGGGAGAATTTGCACAGTAAACTAGATTCAGGAACCTGCTACAATCCATATTTTATAGCAAAAATTGTACAAATTTCCCCATTCCAGTACCATTCATAGGACAGACTGGCAAAGCGGGTATATATATATATATATATATATATATATATATATACATATACACACACATAAATATACAGTTTATATGGCTCTACCAAAAGTAATGCAAAAGTGCAACTTTTGCATTATTTCATATGTCGATAGTGTAACTCTTCTTCTGTAGGCAGCTTTCCTTCTTTTTCTTTTTCATTGTAGGTAAATAATGGATTTCAAGCAAAGCAAGATGCTGTCACTGAGTTCATGAGAAAAGAAGGATGCAGGCTGTCTGCCCTCCACAGAAGGGTTACAAGCTGTTTACAGACGTGACTCCACTAACAAGAGTCACCAATGACAAGGCAGCATTCTGTAAACATTCTGATGCCCCCTGTGGATGTCAGACAGCCTGCAAGGTCCTTCATCAAAGTGGAATTTCACTCTCTCAATCAACATTGACTATTTTGAATCCTATAGCATATTTACTTGTTTTTTTTTTACATTTCTTTAGTTACTCCCTAGTTTCCTTGCCTAGGCAAATGATGTCATACATCCCAGGAGTCTTTAGGAGGGAAGGAGGAGGGGTTTTCTCAGCTATGCCCACCCTCCTGCTTGCATGCCTGAGCTAAGGGCAGATGAATTCCAGGAAGGAAATGCTACATGAATCATCTGCCCTTACGCAAGATGGCCACAGCCAGAAATGCTAGGGGTATTTTTCAAAATGAAGCAAAATAAAGCAAGTAGACATGGATGAATGGGGGAATTTTACTTTGAATATTAAAAATAAATTAAATAGCGCTTTTGGTCTGTGGTGCTCAGATACAGTCTAGTTCCGCTTTAAGAACTCTATGATGGCATGTTGCTTCTGCTTGTAATTCATTATTTACCTGCATTGAGAAAGAAGAAGAATGGTTACTATAGAGGTAAAGTTACTCTACCAACATGTGATATATGAATGTCCTATGTAAATTAATAACAAAGCTATGCCCACTATCTATGTAACCAAACTCTTCTTTAAACATAAATAAACCTATCCCAATATATATAATACATACATAAAATTAGATACGAAAATGAATAAATATTAAAATAAATCCCAAAATTATATCAACCTAAATAGCCCAAAAGAATGTCCCAAAAAAATGTGTCCAAAGTGTCTCTGTAAAAATGTCTTCCTAATTCTCAAGCAAACTCATATCCCTCTTTAACTAGTTGCTGACCGCAGATAGCCGAATGACGGCTGCACTGCGGCCGGCCAGTTCTGGGTGGACGTCATATGACGTCCCCCCAGAACGCGCTCTCCTGCGCGCCCCAGGGGGCACGCACCCGGCGATCTCCGTGATCGCTGTGTCCTACGGACACAGCTGATCACGTGATGTGGTAAAAGGCCAATCACACCGGCCTTTTACCACGTGATCAGCGGTGTCCAATGACACGCTGATCACAGGGAAATGCAAGTGCCGGTTCTCGGCTGCATTTTCCTCACGCTGTCAGATCGTGAGGAAAGTACTGCCGAGAACCGGCAGTTGTCAGAGCGAGGATCGGCACCGATCATCAGGGCACTGATGATCAGTGCCCTGATGATTGGTGCCCAGCAGTGCCACCCACAAGTTCCGCCCACCTGTGCCCAGCAGTGCGCCCACTAGCTCCGCCCACCTGTGCCCAGCAGATCACCCACCTGTGCCCAGCAGTGCACCCACCTGTGCCCAGCAGTGCACCTACCTGTGTCACTCTGCAGTGTCACACACCTGTGCCCAGAAGTGCCACCCACCTGTGCCCACCAGTGCCACCCACCTGTGCCCACCCACCTGTGCCCACCAGTGCCACCCACCTGTGCCCACCAGTGCCACCCACCTGTGCCCACCCACCAGTGCCGCCCACCAGTGCCACCCACCAGTGCAGCCCACCAGTGCTGCCAGTCAGTGCCACCAGTCAGTGCCCAGCGGTTGTGCCAGTCAGTGCCGCCAGTCAGTGCCCAGCAGTGATGCCAGTCAGTGCCGTCTATCAGTACCCATCATCAGTGTCACCTATCAGTGCCGCCTATCAGTGCTGCATATTAGTGCCGCCTATCCGTGACACCTCATTAGTGCTGCCTATCAGTGCTGCCTATCCGTGCCACCTCATTAGTACTGCCTATCAGTGCCCATCATGCCGCCTATCAGTGCCCATCAGTGCTGCCTCATCAACGCACATCAGTGAAAGAGAAAAATTACCTGTTTGAAAAATTTTATAATAGAAACAAAGAAACTTTTTTTTTTTTCAAATTTTTTGCATTTTTTTAATTTATAGCGCAAAAAGTAAAGCGCCCAGTGGCGATTAAATACCACCAAAAGAAAGCTCTATTTGTGAGAAAAAAATGATCAAAATTTCATATGGGTACAATGTTGCATGACCGCGCAATTGTCAATCAAAGTGCGGCAGCGCTGAAAGCTGAAAATTGGCCTGGTAAATAAGGGGGTATAAGTGCCTGGTAGGCAAGTGGTTAATCATCCAGTATGGAATATCCAAAATTCTTTGTGAACCTCAAAGAAATAAACTTATGATAGTGTATTACCTTTAAACTGAGCAAGCATGCAAACTTGTGAAAACCGTGTATCATGGCAACTGCATAACGTGTACTCACACGTGAATAAAAAAAAAAAAATAAAAAAAAAAACTTTAAACAATATATCAATCTCTCAATAAGTAAATATACTCGTGATGATAATCAAAATAGTGACCATTCCAACTTCAAACTATGAGACATAAGTGATCACTCCAAATAGTGAAATGAATAATAACCAAAACTCTAATGGTGAGCTCTACACACTCAATATTAATGAGTGCAACAATGAATAATTACCCTCTGGAAATAAATGACAGGCTTTAAACCAGTGGATAGTAACACTCTCCAGGCTTCCTAATGTTCCTGTTTCCACTCTTCCATATTCCTCATAAGGTGAGATAGGAGATAATCAGTAGTATATAATGGGCGGCACAGTGGCTTAGTGGTTAGCATGTTTACCTTGCAGTAAATGGGTCATGGGTTCAATTACCAACCATGGAGTGTGCATGTTCTCCCTGTGCTTGTGTGGGTTTCCTCCAGGTGCTCCAGTTTCCTCCCACACTCCAAAGACATGCTGGTAGGTTAATTGGATCCTATCTAAATTGGCCCTAATATGTGTATGTATGAATGTAAATTAGGGACCTTAAATTGTACACCCCTTGAGGGTTAGGGACTGATGTGAATGTACAATATATATGTGTAAATTGACAGTGCTATATAAGTACCTGAAATAAATATAGTAAAATATATAAATCTTTATTAAATATCTTACATTAAAATTGAAGAATATCAGCTTCCAACATATGAAACAGCTCTGGTGTAGCCCACTATCACTTTACTTGACTAATCGTTTTTTCTGTGTAACATACGTGGTATACTTCATTGTGAGATTGCACCAAATCTTGACCTTTGGCACACCAAATATTTGATAAATGAACTCTTTATAGAACAGTATTATGGCAAAACAATTCTATTATTGAAGGCACCATGGACTAAGCACTGGGTGGTTAGCATTATTCTGACAGATTGACTCTAATGAAGGCATACCAAGTAATAAATCAGCCCAAAATTCAGCAAAATGTTGCTAAGTAAGAGAAAGCAACAAAATTCCACAAGTGTAACAACCTATACAACTCTGTGGTCCTATGTCAGGCTGATAAGAGATGCAAAATATTCAGGGCAACTTTAAACCCAGAATACACTTTATTAGGGGGTGTACGTACTTATAGATGTGAGCATGTGCATTTTTACACCCCCGAGCATACATGTCCTCATGTGTAAATGTGACTATAAATGTAGCTGTGCAATCTCTGGGGATGAAGCTAGCTATGAATGAATATGAAAAAATGTACTGAATAACTGTTGATTTTCCCAAAACACAGGCTTTTACAAAAAAAGACAGAAATAACTTAAAAACATCCATAGAACAAACATAAAAACTGTATGCACATTACAGGAGACTACAAATACACATGTACATTGACTGTAAAGTGGGAGAATTATTTTCAATTCCTGCGTCATGAATATAAATGAGTTCCTTAAAATAGAAGTTCACCCAAAACCTAACTCCAACCCTACTTGCAGCCACATTCTAAAAGAAAATCTATCTAACCCTGTAAAGAAGAAATTGCTATACATACCTGTTCTACAGCCGCTCCGGTCCCCACGCTGAGCTGTCAGCTGCGGCTTCATTGTTCAGGCGTGTGCAGGAGAGGCAGGCGACCTGACGTCACTCTCCAGGCATTTCACAGCCGTTGTCGGTTCTCTCCTGCACACAGCATCTGACTCTGGTTTATAGATTTATCATTGATAGATTTTTATTGTTTAACTCTAAAAGAAAAGAGACATATTTACTTATAAATGAAATCAATGTCTCCCTGAATGGTTAAGTATGTTTGTAAAGTATGCTCAAAACACACTTTTTTTTTTCATTTTGGATGGAGTAAGAAATTTCTCTCAGAATTTTTTTTACACATATTAATGATTTTACTTTGGTGTCCGTTTATAAAAATGAGATCAACAGTGCTCCTGAGGATCGCTGCTGATTTCAGTACATTAGTAATGTATGACACCGAGAAGATCAGCAGAGAACATGTTCTCTCTGCTGATCTTCTCTGCACACAGAGAATCTGCAATTGACAGACACAGAAACGACTAGTTTATGAAGAAGCGATGTCAGCCTTTCACTGGTGATCTGTGTGAAAATTCTCCCTTCAGATTCTCCAGCCCAGAGATGGAGAATTGGGGAGAGACAGGAGAATCGCTGGAATTCTGAGGAGGAAGGAGGAAGTTTTTAGACTTTCCTCCTCTTCCATCAAAGCTTCCAAGACAGTGGGAAAGCACCCCTGCCTTTCACAATACCCCCAAAACCCTAGAGCAGTTTCTAAATATATATGTGTTTTTGTGTATATATATATATATATATATATATATACACTATATTGCCAAAAGTATTTGGACGCCTGCCTTTACACACACATAAACTTTAATGGCATCCCAGTCTTAGTCTGTAGGGTTCAATATTGAGTTGTCCCACCCTTTGCAGCTATAACAGCTTCAACTCTTCCGGGAAGGCCGTCCACAAAGTTTAAGAGTGTGTCTCTATGGGAATATGTGACCATTCTTCCAGAAGTGCATTTGTGAGGTCAGGCAATGATGTTGGACAAGAAGGCCTGGTTCACAGTCTCCGCTCTAATTCATCCCAAAGGTGTTCCATGGGGTTGAGGTCAGAACTCTGTGCAGGTCAGTCAAGTTTCTCCACAACAAACTTGCTCATCCATGTCTTTATGGACCTTGCTTTGTGCACTGGTGCGCAGTCATGTTGTAACAGGAACGGGTCATCCCCAGGGGCAGACTGACCATTTGGAAACTTTGGCACTGCCCGAGGGCCCGGGGTCAGTAGGGGGCCCCATGAGATGCCCCGTTACCTTTTTCATAGGCTTTTTTGAGTTTGGACACAGGGGCCCCATGATCCCCTATTGCCCAGGGGCCCCATGAGTTGTCAGTCCGCCCCTGGTCATCCCCAAAATGTTCCCACAAAGTTTGGAGCATGCAATTGTCCAAAATGTCTTGGTATGCAGACACCTTAAGAGTTCCCTTTACTGGAACTAAGGGGCCAAGCTCAAGCCCTGGAAAAAAAAGCCCACACCATAATCCCCCCTCCACCGAACTTGACACTTGGCACAATGCAGTCAGGCAAGAACCATTCTCCTGGCAACCGCCAAACCCAGACACGTCCATAGGATTGCCAGACAGAGAAGCATGATTCATCACTCCAGAGAACATTTCTCCACTGCGCTACAGTCCAGTGGCAGTGTACTTTACACCACTGCATCCAACACTTTGCATTGCACTTGGTGATGTAAGGCTTGGATGCAGCTGCTCGGCCATGGAAACCCATTCCATGAAGCTCTCTACGCTCTGTTGTTGTGCTTATCTGAAGGCCACATGAAGTTTGGAGGTATTTAGCTATTGACTCTGCAGACAGTTGGTGACTTCTGTGCACTGTGCGCATCAGCATGTGCTGACCCCACTCTGTCACTTTACATAGCCTACCACTTTGGGGCTGAGTTGCTGTTGTGTTGCTTCCACTTTGTTATAATACCACTAACATTTGAATGTGAAATATTTAGTAGCCTGGAAAAGTCACGGATGGACTTATTGCACAGGTGGCAACCTATCACGGTACGGTACAGTGAATTCACTGAGCTCCTGAGAGCTACCCAATCTTTCCCAAAGTTTGTAGAAGCAGTCTGCAAGCCCAGGTGCTTGATTTTATACACCTGTGGCCATGGAGGTGATTAAAATACCTGAATAAAATGATTTGGAGGGGTGTCCCAATAGTTTTGGCAATATAGTGTGTGTATATATATTTATATATATATATATATATATATATATATATATATACAGGTGAAACTTGAATAATTAGAATATCGTGCTAAAGTTCATTTATTTCAGTAATGCAACTTAAAAGGTGAAACTAATATATGACATAGACTCATTACATGCAAAGCAAGATAGATCAAGCCGTGATTTGTCATAATTGTGATGATTATGGCTTACAGCTCATGAAAACCCCAAATCCACAATCTCAGAAAATCAGAATATTGTGAAAAGGTGCAATATTCTAGGCTCAAAGTGTCCCACTCTAATCAGCTAATTAGGCCATAACACCTGCAAAGGGTTCCAGAGCCTTTAATGGTCTCTCAGTCTGGTTCAGTAGGAATCACATCATGGGAAAGACTGCTGACATGACAGTTGTGCAGAAAATCATCATTGACACTCTCCATAAGGAGGGAAAGCCTCAAAAGGTAATTGCAAAAGACGTTGGATGTTCCCAAAGTGTTGTATCAAAGCACATTAATAGAAAGTTATGTGGAAGGGAAAAGTGTGGAAGAAAAAAGTGCACAAGCAGCAGGGATGACCGCAGCCTAGAGAGGATTGTCAGGAAAAGGCCATTCAAAAGTGTTGGGGACTTTCACAAGGAGTGGACTGAGGCTGGAGTCAGTGCATCAACAGCCACCACACACAGATGGATCCTGGACATGGGCTTCAAATGTCATATTCCTCTTGTCAAGCCGCTCCTGAACAACAAACAACGTCAGAAGCGTCTTACCTGGGCTAAAGAAAAACAGATCTGGTCTGTTGCTCAGTGGTCCAATGTCCTCTTTTCTGATGAGAGCAGCTTTTGCATCTCATTTGGAAACCAAGGACCCAGAGTATGGAGGAAGTCTGTGCTGATTTGGGGAGTCATGTCATCTGCTGGTGTTGGTCTACTGTGCTTCATAAAGTCCAGGGTCAAAGCAACCGTCTACCAGGAGATTTTGGAGCACTTCATGCTTCCTTCTGCAGACTAGCTTTATGGGGATGCTGACTTCATTTTCCAGCAGGACTTCGCACCTGCCCACACTGCCAAAAGCACCAAAACCTGGTTCAATGACCGTGGGATTACTGTGCTTGATTGGCCAGCAAACTCGCCTGACCTGAACCCCATAGAGAATCTATGGGGCATTGCCAAGAGAAAGATGAGAGACATGAGACCGAACAATGCAGAAGAGCTGAAGGCCGCTATTGAAGCATCCTGGTCTTCCATAACACCTCAACAGTGCCAAAGGCTGATAGCTTCCATGCCACGCCGCATTGAAGCAGTAATTGCTGCAAAACGGGCCCAAACCAAGTACCGAGTACATATGCATGCTTATTCTTTTCAGAGGTCCGATACAATCCTTGTTTTATTGATTGCATGTAATATTCTAATTTTCTGAGATTGTGGATTTGGGGTTTTCATGAGCTGTAAGCCATAATCATCACAATTATGACAAATCACGGCTTAAACTATCTTGCTTTGCATGTAATGAGTCTATCTCATATATTAGTTTCACCTTTTAAGTTGTATTACTGAAATAAATGAACTTTTCCACAATATTCTAATTTTTCGAGTTTCACCTGTATACCTGTATATGTATACACACACACTATATATATATATATATATATATATATATATATATATATATATATATATATATATATATATATATATATATATATATATATATATATAGGCAGCACAGTGGCTAAATTGTTAGCACTTCTGCCTGGCAGTACTAGGGTCGTTGGTTCAAATCCCAGCCACAGTACCTCCTGCCTGGAGTTGGCATGTTCTCCTTGTCCCTGCGTGGGTTTCCTCTGGGTACTCCAGTTTCCTCCCACACTCCAAACACATGCTGGTAGGTTAATTGGATCCTGTCTAAATTGGCCCTATTATGTGTATGTATGAATGTGAATTAGGGACCTTAGATTGTATGCCCCTTGAGTGTTAGGGACTGATGTGAATGTACTATATATATGTAAAGTGCTACATAAAATGACAACGCTATATAAGTACCTGCAATAAAATATATATATAAAATTATTATTGTGTACGTGTTTACTGAGGAGAGCCACCACCTCAGCAGAGGTAATTTACTACTGCTTAATAAACTGACAGCTGTGTATTTTACTGATCTCTTGTTACTGTAATCTCACTTAATCATGCGAGATTACAGCAGCAACAGCCATTTTCCAGAGTTCAAAGCGTTTGTAGATTGCTTCTTTCCTCATCAGGAGAAGCGATATCTACACCACTTCATAATCAGGAACTCAGAGGAGAGCTGTCTCCTCTTAGAATGCCAGAGAACATAGCAATGGTCATTTACCACTGCTTGATAAACGTACACCTTTATTCATTAGACAGAAAATAGGAGTATGTTTTTCTAAAATGAGAGATATCTCCTCTTAGACATGGGTTAAATGTTTGGGGGTAGGGGATCTAATTATCACTATGCTATATGTTACACCCTAAATACATGTAACATGGTACAAAAGGTGGAATTAGCTTTTAGTGATCTCATGACCTGCATAGTGTGATTATGTTATGGTTGTTGTACACTTGTGGGAAATATAATGAAAATATTGAAACAGAAATAATGATCAGGTCTCAGGAAACCCCCATAAAAATGATTATTTCTATAGCTCCAGTTACAAGAGTGTGATCAAAAAGTTGCAACAACGTTTAAATCAGGGGCGTTCAACCTTTTGACTTTCCTGGGCCACATTGGAAGAAGAGGAATTGTCTTCGGCCACACATAAAATACACTAACAATAAGGATAGCTGATGAGTAGAAAATGTTGGGCAGAATTAACGATTGCTGATATAGATAATGTACCATCTGAGTAATAAAACTTCATTTTTTAAAACATAAAAATAAAAGAGGGCAACATAAAACTAGTGCAATATTTGACACTGTTTTTGATGAAAGCGTCAATATCTGGTTGGAAGGATGTACTAGCAATTCTCAATGAATTCTCAAGGTGCTCCTCAGATATTTTTAGTCTAATTTTGCCCTTTGTGTGCTTTAGCCATAAAAATAGTTGCTCACAAATATAGGTGCTGCCAAAAACCGATGACATGAATAGGGTGTAATTGTGAAGAGTGGGATATTTTTCTTTGGGAAGATAAAACTTATAAAAGTCCAGTAAAGAGACACTATAATTAGTTTTTTTGGCTGCATGTGTTCGTTAAATGTATACAAAAAAATTCCAAAAAACAACATTTTTATGTAAGTTTAAGATTTTGTGTCAGACTGTGTTCATAACCGTCTTGAGCATCATGCGGTCCCTGGGCCTTGGGTGGACACCCTTGTTTTAAAAAAAAGGAATAAATAATGTGGCATATCTATCACAAATTATTTTTAAAAACCTCTTCTTTATAGTAGTTAGTAATGACCTTGATGTAAATAAATAAAATGTAGATAGGGTATTTGTCAACATAGAAGGGCCCCCTGACATTGGTGATTAGTGGAATATTCAATCAATCAAATTGTTTAGTGGACCCTTAGGAGTTTATTTACTAAAACTGTCGAGAGCAAAATCAGGCTCACTTCTGCATAGAAACCAATCAGCTTCCAGATTTTATTGCCAAAGCTTAATTGAACAAGCTGAGGTTAGAAGCTGATTGGTTACCATGCACCATAAACACCAGATTCTGAGTGAACCAATTTTAGTAAATCTACCCCTTAGTAACCTCCGAAGGATCCCCAAGGTTCCATGGAATCTTGATTTAGTTTTAAGTGAAAACCAGATGATACATATCTGTGACCATCACATATCTATGGAAGCGAAAGCCAACAGCAGATATTGCCTACTGTATATGGATGTGGCAAAGGCGGGTAGACGAAATATTGTTTGAACAACCTGTCAGTGAACAATCACAGTAGATCTTTCTGTGTCTTTAGCTGTCCTTAGAAATCCCTAATGGCTTACTTGAGTCTGAAAACTCATTGAGCAAGCTTGCCATTTGCTGAAAATAGTAGTAGCTTGGCTGTCATACTACTCCAATACTTTATGAATCACGTATACGTGACAACTACCCAGATTTTTCATTTTTGGATGTTTGTTTAGGTTAGTAACTCAGAAAGTATTGAAGCCAGAAACAGCGGGTAAATTGGTATATTCACAAGGAGGTCAGCAGTGGTAGCTTCCATATTTCTGTCAGTACAGGTTTTTTAAGATCAGGGCCAGAACATCAAGAATATTCAAATAAATGTCTGAATGGTGTTTGAGCAGACAAATATGTTTCTGTGAAGCTGCTAGGAATACAAAACAGAGTTCACCATTTATTTTGTGTGTTTTTATGTTTAATACTTATATTTACTGAAGTGATAGTACCCTCTGTGTTCCCATAGGGCTCCCAGCTGCTTTTCAGTATAGTGATGTGTTTGTTAACTGAGCTGCAAGAGACAATGGCCATATTTTACAGACGATAATGAAGAGTAATTGAGTGCAAACAACCCCATTACGAAAATGAGATGTGTTCTACACCCCATTCCACTAGCAAACACAAAAAGGCAATTGGAAGTGAGTTTTATGATGATTGCTTGACACAACTCGAGTAGGCAAACACCACAGAAGCAGTTGACAATGATGCGAAGGCAGAAGCTAATGGCTTAACAAATGAATTGTTGTAGCTGGTGTAAAAAGAGGAGGGGGCAGATTTCACTAGAGGATAAGTTACACACTTGTGGGAATTGTGATTAAATTGATCATGTATAAAACAACAGCAAGCAAGGCAAAAGAACTTGCTAGAAGTTAGTGGATGAAACTTGGCTAATCTTAAGCTTTTTATCTTGTTATCCTTTTATAATCTGGCTCACTTTCTCTGTACTAGGAAGCAGACTATGCTGAAGTTCTCTGTATGCCGATGCTTGGTGTT